ATGAATATACCTTTACTCTTAATCCTATATGAATATACCTTTACTCTTAATCGTATATGAATATACCTTTACTCTTAATCCTATATGAATATACCTTTACTTTTAGTCCTATATGAATATACCTTTACTCTTAATCCTATATGAATATACCTTTACTCTTAATCCTATATGAATATACCTTTACTCTTAGTCCAATATGAATATACCTTTACTCTTAATCCTATATGAATATACCTTTTCTTTTAATCCTATATGAATATACCTTTACTCTTAATCCTATATGAATATACCTTTACTCTTAATCCTATATGAATATACCTTTTCTCTTAATCCTATATGAATATACCTTTACTCTTAATCGGAACCTGCTGGACGTGGGTCGGTGTGGCGCTTTAAGAACCGAGTCTGCGCAATAAGACATTAGTTTAGTGGCTGGTCTGCGGTGAGATTCAACCAGAGAAAAATAAGAGAAATAAAGCAGTATCGTCGTTTCCATTAATAAAGCGCAGCTACAGGAAATACGACTGGAAATCAGACGCGAACCGAGGGGGGATTTTGGGGAGAGCCATGGCAGGGGTGGGATCGAGGAGGAGGAGAGCGGGGTTCCCTGGGTTTTGCTGGAAAACCTGCTATTTTCATATTTTATTCTGGGTTGTTTCTGTCTGTGGGGAGGAGAAGACGTTCATTATTGAGGTAGGTCAAAAAAACACATTGTAATGCAGTTGATTTCCATTCGCATCCTTACTGATACAGACGAGGCAGAAGCACCCTGCTCCATCCCTCTGCTCTAGTCTGTAAGGTGCAGGTGCACATCTAATGAAAATGTTTCCTTAATAGATAGTGCTAAGAACCGAAAGTGATCAAAATGAATTACCCACATAGGCCTAAACAAGATGTCAAGCAGCTCTACCCTATTATTTATTTCCATTCTAGTAGCATAAGCAGATGTATAACCTCACCTTAACACATAGATTCAACTAGATCGTGTATTTTCCACTCGACTAGATATCTTCACTTGAATGCAAGTGGTAGAAAACATAGAAGTTGGTAGTCCCACAAAGAATGCATGATGGATCATAGCTTTCATTTCCCAATTGGATGTTAAAACCTATTGATGATGGCATATTCTGCCACTATAGTGGTAACACATTGTTTGGTTTAGAGGGTAGCCGGAATTAATAATTGTGATAAACATGATCATAAACAGTGTTTTCATCATTTCTAATCTCGTGTTTTCTTTGTCTTTGTTTTCCTTATGAAAACACACCACCAGTACTGAACTTTTTTTATTTACATGTTTCTTTCCACTACTCACCCATCCCATCCTATGTAAATGGAGTGATACGAGTGTCTATTATGTTGATTGTAATTACACAAACGTTGAATAGGCTCCATAAATCAATAGTGTTTGTAATTAAATTATTAATTGTGCCAGCACAACAAACATACCCTATTATAACTCATACCACTCTCTGTTTAATGCCACTTAGTAAACATATTATATTTGGAGCTGATTGGTACAGGGTTAATTTTAAAATCCAGTTTACTTGGGTACATTTTGAACATTTGAGTGAATATTTACATTACATTGTCATAGGGTTTTTTGTCAATAGCAGCAGATAAATAACATTCAGTATTCAAGTTAATTCCTGAGCTTTGCTTTGATGTGTGTAGAAGAAAGATTTCAGCTTTTTTCATGATGCCAAATATAGCTTCCTCCATAATTAATTGAAATCGCAGAGAGATGCAAGCAAGTAGAGGTGCTCTACCCAGTTGGAATGTGTGCTTTGTTTAGGATAAGCTGTTTGCAATAAAATCCTTGCCTATTGCTTGTAATGATCTTACGACACACACAGACACTCACAAACAGAGGTTGGATAAAAGCACGACTGATGAGTGTGTGACAGTATGACACAAACAACAAATAACATGAAACACGAGAAAACAAACCATAATTGAACAGACATGTGCTTGGGCATTCATGACAGCCCTATACTGCTGTTTTGTTGGTCCATAATTAAATCAATTTCTTACATTCAGCATAGGTTGATGGAAATGACATTTTTTTCATGTTTAGTTATTATTTATAGATAATTGATCTATGAGATACTTGGTAGGACCTTTTCAAATGAACCTTTTATAAATCTTAAATTAATCTAATTGGACATTTCTTTTTTCCACAAGCTCCAAAATAATGAATCCATAATTGAATTAGTTTTATTATGCTTATAGAACAGACCATTTCTGTTACCCAATATTTTGCATAATCTTTCACTTGATAATTCTCTGTGACATCACGTGTGAAGCCTACCTGAGGTTATTGTGGCTGAACTTACATCTGGTGCGCCTTTGTTATCACAAAGGATTTTTAAAAACAGCACATCGGGCTGAAATAAAGCTGCTGTTATAACCGACCGATTTTTAAATCTGATACCAATAATCCTGCAATTCATTATCAAAGCAAATAGGCTTAGTACAAAAGCAGCTAGCAATCTCCTTGGGAACAGCAATTTGACCGTGAGGTTGTGGTGCAGGTTTAGACTGATGTCAGTGTTGATGCTGATGATATACGATGTTCACAGTTGTCGTGGCGAGCTGTAATGCATCGCCAGAGTGAGTTATATTTCAATAAGCTCCTTTGAAGAGTATTTTTCCACTCTACATTGTTATTAATATTTTCATGATTGTATATTGTTGTTTACAGTGTAGAATAATATATACTGTTTTTAAAAGTACAATATGATCACTGGCTCAGAATATCCAAACAACTACTTGAACAAAGGAATTAATCAGATTTACATATAAATTATATTAAAAAACAAAAATGATTACAAATTATCATATAATCTGCACCTTAAAACGAGATCCCTTTCTTACTATGAAGATCAACCTGAGCTGCGGTCTTCACACGTTTGTTTTTCTCTCGCCTAGATTGATTTCATCGTGGAGCATGAGTTCACGCTGATGTCAAATCATGTGTACAGCACCGTATAATGAAAACCGGGTCATCTTGCTAGATCTGACGAGTCTTGACTATTATATTGTGTCTGTAGATCGTATGTGTGAAACCGGAGAGCAAGCTGTCGTTTTGGCATCGTGGAAGGATTCTAGAGGAACATCCTGATGAGCTAGGCGACGATGATGATGAGGAGGAGGAGGATTAATGTGATAATGGTTTTAAAGATTGGTTTTCAGGATAAAAGGCGTTTTCTCTCTTTTTTTGTTGTTGCTCTGGGCCCCTTCTGTTTCCTGTGTCTCTCTAAGGGAAGAGTCGCGAGCAACGGTTGTCAGAGAAATGTTGGAGGTATCACAATGCATGAAAAACACACCATCTGGCATTCATGGGAACCAAGCCTGTCTTTGTTATGAACGCGATGACGTCCTGTCCTCCTGAAGTAGGGATGCCAGCATTTCATGTTTTTGGAAAACCACAACCTCTCACACCCAGCAAGATAAGGATTCCTGTTTTACCAACATTTTATAGATTATCGGGTCTTTTAACAATGATTTGGAAAGTGTCAAGGTATTTATTTATGTCGGGTAGCAGGCAATCTATTTTCAAGGTGCATAACGAATGCTCATAAACCAGGACATGTGGTGGAAGCGTTCCTATGTTGATGTCTTGGTCTCTGGCATCTGTCTAGGTACAGGGTACAATAATCCATGCAGGTTGTTTTAATCTGTACGTACACAAACAGGAATCAGTAGACAGTGTTTGCTGAATATACCTGATCATTTTCAATGGTGGGAAGTTAAAGCCAGAACCATTTGATTTGTGTGTGAGGGATCAGCGGCTGTCTGTCTTGAATGTGAGCAAATTGAGGACTTTTGAAGTGCTTTCGGCAGCTTGCGTGGCAGTCTGGTGTTAACTGACTATCCCATTAGCCTTCTTTCATGTTATGTTTTGTCACCTTTATCAGACATCCTGGTGAAGAAAATGTTTAGTTGTAAAAAGACAATATGAGTATTAGTATTAGGGCTTGGGTCTGGAAGGTCCCTGGTTCTAATCCCCCCACCACCTAGGTGAAAACCGCGTCGTTCTGTCCTTGAGCAAGACAGTTAACCCCAAAATGCTCCCCGGGCGCCGTGACGTGGAAGTCAAATCAGGTAACTGATTAGGGCTGCCCCCTGCACCTCATGGTTGGGTGAAATGCAGAGGACACATTTCAGTTGAAGGCATTCAGTTGTACAACTGACAATATTGGTCTATTCTATTCTATCTATTCTATCTATTCTATTCTATCTATTCTATCTATTCTATCTATTCTATTCTATCTATTCTATTCTATCTATTCTATCTATTCTATCAATTCTATTCTATCTATTCTATTCTATCTATTCTATTCTATCTATTCTATCTATTCTATCTATTCTATTCTATTCTATTCTATCTATTCTATCTATTCTATTCTATCTATTCTATTCTATCTATTCTATCTATTCTATCTATTCTATTCTATTCTATCTATTCTATTCTATCTATCTATTCTATCTATTCTATCTATTCTATTCTATCTATTCTATTCTATCTATTCTATTCTATTCTATCTATGAGGACAGTCCATTATGACCGTCTTGCAATGATCCTGACTAAACACCTGCCGATTTGAATTTGTTATGAAACATGATCAGACAATGAAAGATAATACATAATTCATTCAGACTGTAAAGTATAACTGAAGCATTAGGCTTTTTGGTAAGATTTTATAAACTATTGGCCTCCATTTCACTATGCCATTGGTGGGTTGTTTGATGATGGTTAATGATCCTTAGTTATTAAACAAAGGTGGGCCAGAGGCCTCTAGTGGCCAAAGTGAAATGCAATTCTTTCATTAACATTGCTATAGAGGATTTTTGCCATCTTAATATGGTCAACTGGATATAGCTTGCCATACCATTGGCTCATAGTAGAGATCAGCTTATAAAGTAGGACTTCCCATCCTATTGACCACAGTAATATGGTTTAAGCTCTTGATGGATCAGCATAAATAGAACATAATTGAGCAGTTGGAAGCTCAGTGGTAGAGTGCATGCTTGTGTATGATGTCCTGGGTTCGAACCCCAGCTGCTCCCCAGGTCGCTGTTGCAAATGAGAAATTGTTCTCAATCGGGCTACCTGGTTAAATAAAGGATAAATTAAATGAAAAATAATGTATCCTCTTTCCCTTGGGTTTCCTCGCTTCCTGTATTCTCCTCTTTTCACAATTTTCTAAAGGTAATTGACCATTTTGCAACATTTTGTACATAACACCATTAGCAGCATATTATTTTGAAACGCTCGTATGGTTTAGGGGCTTACTTCAATCATATCTTGTGAGGCTGATCCGATTCTTATCACACTGATTGCTCAACCTGGGTGTCTGGTACATGTGCTGTGGTTCTGGACCGCCAGGCATCATCGGTATGGCAAAATAGTAAAAATAAAGAAATTGCCTTGAATGAGTAGGTGTGTTCTGTATATCAGCCAATGGAAACAGATCAATGAAAATAACTTGGCCAAGTGGCTAATTGTAACACCCTGTGTAAGTATGTTTTCCTCACTGAGGTAGTTGTACAAGTTTTATAGATGAAGTCAATTTTGAGGATTTTTTGGCTTAGTTTTCTGCAGTTCGGACCAGTAGCTTGCTCCGAGGCCCTCTATTGGACGTGTGCCCTCCTTAGTGGCAATTTGTCTAAACAATTGAATGAATGAGTGTTTTATTTCATGGTGGAGACACGATAATGTGCAACAAAATATTTGTGATACAACTACATGACCCTACCCATAAACTTTTCCCTGAGGATTCAACCGTGTGGTGAACTTTGTGCACCGATAACCTTAGAGAGTTTGGTGTGATGGAGATATATGAATTAGCAATCCTACTGTGGCTCACAAATAAGCGCTGAATGACTGCAGCTAATTTCTGTGCTCCTGTCCAATTTCTTAAGGAGGCTCTGCCACTGACAAGCTGTCCTGATCAGCTCACCGGTGGTGGGAGAAGCTGGCTGAGTAAAGTCTTTATATGGGTTTGATTTTTAGAGCCTAATCACACACACAGACATACAGTAATTTATCTAGCTCCTGTCTAGCATTACATTACTTCCCTCTGCTATATATTGTATATTTTATGTAATGTTGATATATTACTCAATTTTTTTTTGCAATTTATCTAAAGGCATTTCTGAAATTTGGCCCTAGAAGGAAGAATTTGGTTTTGTTTTGATTGTTAGGGATGAAAACAAAATAATATCTACCAAAATAGTTAATTTCTAAATTAAATAAGAATAGAAAACTTTAACCAATGGTGGTTTAATTGTTAAGTATATTTTTTTGTATGTAGACACAATAAACTACCTTTTTTCTTTCAGTTTTGACTTGGTCAGACAGCTATTTTCAGATGTGTCAAATCCATTCCCCCCATCTGTGTCAACTCAACACTCAAGCAGCCAATATGGTCTGTAATTAAGCAAACATTGGTCAAGAAATAATCTTTCATTTGAACAAGATACTGTCACAGCTGAATAAATAAGCTGCCAGTTAGCATTAAATTAAAACCTCGTAAAAATATTGAAAAATATAATTATGATTATGGTATTCATACTCGGAGCATAAATAGAAAATAATGCTATCCTTTCCTCTTGTCTAAACAGATATGTACAGTACACTGCATATGTGGGCGTGTAGAGGCATAGAGAGACATGGTGGGAGCACTGAGTTGAACGTTGTTGCTTGCTAGCTGCTATGTTGACTATGTAGACCTATGTAGACTTTTGGATCAGCCCCCTCGTTGCTACTGGACTCTATACTTCCTAACCAACAGATCTCAATCTGTCAGGTTGAACAACCTGCTTACCTCCTCCACCCTGACCCTGAACACCGGTGTCCCACAGAGCTGTGTGCTTAGCCCACTCTTTTACTCCCTCTTCACCCACGACTGCATACTTCTACACAGCTCTAATACCATTGTCAAGTTCACAGATGATTCCACAGTAGTTGGTCTGATCATGCACAACGACGAGGCATTCTACAGAGAGGAGATCAAGCACCTGGTGATTTGGTGCGCAGATAACAACCTGGCAATTAATTTAAAAAAACGAACTGGTTGTGGATTACAGGAAGACAAATAGCTGAATACATGCCCCAGTTCTCATTGTTGAGACCATAGTGGAACGTGTACCCAGCTACAAATTCCTGGGTGTCCACATCTCCAATGACCTATTCTGGTCCCGCAACACCACAACCCTGGTCAAAAGGGCACAACAGCACCTGTACTTTACTTTTTATGGATGCTCAAGAAGGCCCACCTATCTACCAACATCCTGGTAAACATTTACCGCTGCACGGTCAAGAGCATTCTAGCCATCTGTGCTACAGTCTGGTTCAACGTTTGCTCTGCGGCCGACCCTGCAGCGGGTGGTGAAAACCGCCCAGTGCATCATTGGTGCCCAGCTCCACGCCATCAAAGACATCCAGCACATGCGCTGTTTGTGGAAAGCGTGTGGAATTATCAGGGATCTCTTACACCCAAGCCCTAAACTGTTTGTCCCCCTTGTCATGAGGCAAGTGTTACAGATCTCTACTCACCCACACCAGCAAGATCAGGAACAGTTTCTTCCCTACTGCTGTTAACATACTAAACTCTGAAACCCTTCTGTAAAACCCTTCACACTGCTACTTTATTTATTTTATTCTCCATTTGCACAATACATCCTGTGGTACTCCTCTTGCTACCTTTTGCCCTGCACACTGCTGCTTATTTCTACACAATTTTATAAATATATATAAATAGTCCAGTCACGGCAAGGTATATAGGAAAAAGATGCGTTGTGTAAATTTTCGCATATGAAAGAATCATTTTGAAAAATGTGTCTCGTATTTTCCGAAGATCAATAAAGTATTAATCATTGTTAGTATAATTTATTCAAACCCATGGAGTCTATTTAATTACATGTAATGCAGAAAAGATGTACAATCTTAAAATACATTTGTCTGAAAAATTAATCTCTTTCATTATTATTATTCTGTGAAACCAACATTGAATCATTATTTCTGAACAAAAAGAAAAATATATTTTAGCCTTATGCCGGAATGTGTCAGCATTAAGAGGCATGGGAGAACCTCTGGTTAAGAAGAAAGGTTTGCAGTGTCTTATTCATTTTTGATAAGTTTACGTTTTCTTGTAAAAAATTACATCATTTAGAGTTAAGTTAACGTCACTAAAATAAAAAAATTCAAACACTCCACAGATGTCATTTTAACAAAATATAGTTTTGGCCAGGTTTATTTTACTGTTAATAAATCCACGGATAGAATATCGCTCTGCGTTTGGCTCCTCTCTGCCCTACACATGTGGATTTTGTGAGAGAATTTATGGTTTGGATACTCTACTATTTTTTGGAGAATAAGATATTGTAGTCTCTCAAAATCGAAATGTATCATTTTCAGGGGAATATCTAAATGCAGGTCTTTCCACAGGTGGATTATTCTGTTATTCAGCAGACCTTTTACACAACCAAAAAACATCTGCAGCACCCTTTAAGATTCAGACTCTTTGTTAGTTGAATTGCTATTGGAAAATGTATTAATTTGTCACGGATCCGTACAGGTGAAGTGCAGAAGGACCGAGATGCAGAGCCAGACAATCACGTTCGTCGTATTTAATTGTAGTCTACAACAAACATAGAACAACGAACGGACAAAACTATACTGACGATAAATGAAATGCGCTTACACAAAGCGACTTGTACATTTACAAACACAACAGTATCAATGGGACTTATACACAACACTCACCTACAACGACACGTAACGTAAAATAATATCAAGCACCAGTGAACCTAACCAGGGGACTTAAATAGCCTACTGATACAAACCTATGCCCGGTGCTTAATTAACCCAACTCAAAACAGCTGTGCTCCTAATTACAATATACATACACAGAAGTGCTCTCCCAACCACCCTGTGTACAGCACAGCTCACCCAATATGTTACAGTATCCCCCACTAAAAGGCTGGCTTCCAGACAGCCTAACCAAAAGGGAAGGGGAACAGAGGAGACATATATTGTCCGTTCAACCCGGAGGCGGGCCGGGACAGTTAGTCCAGCCCTCTTTGGGCGTTCGACAGTCTGCAGCAATCTTGGGCGGCAGCCATCGTGGGCGTCGTGGCGGCGGCCATCGTGGGCGTCGTGGCGGCGGCCATCGTGGGCGTCGTGGCGGCGGCCATCGTGAGCGTAGTCGTGGCGGCGGCCATCGTGAGCGTAGTCCTGGCGGCGGCCATCGTGAGCGTAGTCCTGGCGGCGGCCATCGATAGCGTAGTCCTGGCGGCGGCCATCGTGAGCGTAGTCCTGGCGGCGGCCATCGTGAGCGTAGTCGTGGCGGCGGCCATCGTGAGCGTAGTCGTGGCGGCGGCCATCGTGAGCGTCGTCGTGGCGGCGGCCATCGTGAGCGTCGTCGTGGCGGCGGCCATCGTGAGCGTCGTCGTGGCGGCGGCCATCGTGAGCGTCGTCGTGGCGGCGGCCATCGTGAGCGTCGTCGTGGCGGCGGCCATCGTGAGCGTCGTCGCGGCGGCGGCCATCGTGGCGGCGGCCATCGTGAGCGTCGTCGTGGCGGCGGCCTTCGTGGCGGCGTGCGGCAGCCATGGTGGGCGGCGATGCGGCAGCCATTGTGGGCGGCGATGCGGCAGCCATTGTGGGCGGCGATGCGGCAGCCATTGTGGGCGGCGATGCGGCAGCCATTGTGGGCGGCGATGCGGCAGCCATTGTGGGCGGCGATGCGGCAGCCATTGTGGGCGGCGATGCGGCAGCCATTGTGGGCGGCGATGCGGCAGCCATTGTGGGCGGCGATGCGGCAGCCATTGTGGGCGGCGATGCGGCAGCCATTGTGGGCGGCGATGCGGCAGCCATTGTGGGCGGCGATGCGGCAGCCATTGTGGTCGGCGATGCGGCAGCCATTGTGGTCGGCGATGCGGCCGCCATCTTGAGCGCCGGCGTGACGGCAACAGCCATCTTGGGCGCCGGCGTGACGACGGCAACCATCTTGAGCGCTGGCGTGACGGCAACAGCCATCTTGAGCGCTGGCGTGACGGCGGGAGCC